TAAACGATAGAAAAAATACTAATTTTTTTTCTATCTTTAATTTGTATTTGTAATTTCTTTTTTTTTTTCTTTTTCGATTTGTCGAAATGTATTCCTCGTCTTCGAGATATAGATTCATTTTTTTTCGACTGTTGATCTAATTAAATTTGATGATTTTTTAATTATAAGAATTTTCATCTTTTCCTTTAAATTCCTCCCTTTCATCTCGTGTTCCAAATTCACGGTATATTTCTCGAGACTCGATTAAAAAATTACGAAAAAGGATTGACTTTTTTAATCCACGCATAATTATCTTAACCTTCGTCGTTGAATTAATTAAAGTAATTATTAAAATTATTTGGAAAATCTATTTCTCAAACGGTGCCAACGCGAAGAGAGAAGATTCCACGAAAGAATCCTCCTTTTTACATCGTTGTCAAAATAACTGTGACTCGTGGAATTTTCCTGTCTCTCCTCGCAAACGCGGAAAAAAGAAGAGAGAGAGAGAGAGAGAGAGAAACTCTGAACTATGAAAAAACCTCGTGACGCGAAACTGATGACCATTTCTTACTAAGATCATAGAATGGCATAGAGTACACAATGTGATGGTCATGAAAATAATTAATCTTATTTTAAAAGAAGAAGAAGAAAAAAAAAGAAGGAACATGTGATGCAACCGTGCATGACTCTGGGTTCAGGAATCTCTCTTGGAGGAGGAGGAGGAGGAACATTTTCTCAAACATCTTCTATTTTTAGGGCGGCGCGCTTCTTTTAACCCACGAATTTCCGTATCGGAAATAATTCGTTGAACGGAGAGAAACGGAGAGAAAGAGAAGGAAAAGGTATGCGCGGCACGTCGAGAGGGAGAAGGGAATTGAAATTCAACTTGTTGCTTCGCCACGAGAGGGTGGAAATCACCATGATGGGTGGCGAGGGATGAGAAAAAAATGGCGCGTGAGACCGGAAGTCAGTCCCGAGAGATAGTTTTCAGAGGACGGTCGTGGATTTTATTAACCCTTTATTACCTCTTCTGTGGAAAAAGACTTCTCGTTTCCTTCTCTTCTCGTTTTCCTTGGCTCTCTATAGTTTTCTGCCTCCCCCGTGTTGGGCAGAATTTGAAATTGACACGAGTTGATCAAGTAGTTTAATTCTCGGGTAATTTGTGCAATATTTTGTTAATTAATTTTTGCACGTAATAATAATATTCGTTGAAAGAATTGGAATCGAATTAGTTAGAATTTGAAGAAATTTTCTTCATCTGTTAATGTGTATATTTGTATCGAACGGATATCGATACAACGAGTTTATTATTGTTTCAAGATTGGACTCTGGTATTTTGCAGAAATAGAGTTGGAAAATAAACGTTTCCCTATTTATAAGCTGTATAAGTTAAAAACAGGAACACAAATGTCGAAAGTTATATTAACAGAAATGCGAGATGGATATTATTCCCTCTTATTCCCTTTTAACTAACATTTTTCTAGGCTATTCTTTTGACTGATAATAATCGTGCTGTAAAACATCCTTTTTCATAAAAAGAGAATAAAATATCACAGAACGCTTTAAACATTCAGAAACATTTTCATAATTTGAATGGTATAAAATATATGCTCTGTTGCAATTTTATAAAATAATTCATGAAAAAAGAAAAATTGAAAAACAATAATTTTATATTTCCATTCCATTTTTTATCCCATTAATATATTTAATTACTATTAATATTATTTTCAATATAGTTACGAACATTTATAACCATAGTTAAAAATTTCACCTGCAATTATTTAATCTTGATTATAATTTTCGATTGTAATATGTAATTTTTAATTTCACACTTACTCGACTAATTTCATCCTCGTTCCACTCTTCAAATACAAATCTATAAAAATCCATCTAATAAAAAAACTAAAGAAAAAGCAATAGAGAAAACGTTCTTTTATAATTTTCAATTTTACATTTCTTCGAGCTCTGAGCGAGTATCTTCCATTTGAATAACGCAAAGCGAAATTGAAATTATCGGTTCATTGATTATCATCGTAGCAATATTTTCCTTAAAATCGTGTTTACGAAACGAAACCATTCAAGATATTCGTGTATATCCATTTATTGTGCGGATGGAATAATATCGCGCGAACGAAGGCAAAGGAAGAGGAAATACAGCTTGTAACGCGGTTACATTCTACCACGAGATACCCATCCGAATAAATTTCTATTCAAACGTTGCCTCGACGAAATTTAACCGGCGAAAATTTGCTTAGAGCCGAGATAAAACGAGCAATTCTATCTTTTACTGGGTTTCGATCGCGTCAATGTCTCTACGCTATCTAGAACGAAGGAAATGCTCGCCTCTGCATCCATTTCTATTCCTCCTCTCGTCCGCGTTACGTGTGTAAATGGTGTAATAAAGAACGTCGAATCGAATCGTCAATCTTATTTCGCTTCTTCTTAGTTTATTCAAATGAAAAGATCTTCTATTCTTTCCGAGGAAGGGCCGTTTCGAATGTGTATCAAGGATGATTCATACTGTGAAAGATGAAAGTTCAAGTATTAGTGTTTGCATTAGTTCATCGAATCGAATTTATTTTACCAGTTTTCACGAGGAAGATAAAAGTCTTCTTTCAGTCTCTCCTCTTTCTTTTTTTTTTTTTTTACTTTCCTGCCGTTTACTTTTAATTCTCCATCCAAACTTCGTTGTTAAATGTTAAATTATATATATATATTCGTTAGAGTAAAAATTTATATTTTCTTGTCAATTGATTTTTGTAACGCATAAATAAAATTTTGTGGCATATACGTGAATTTGAAAAATTTTATGAACGTAAACAATATATAATTAAATAAATATTTCATTGTTTCGATATACACTTTACAGATGAAACGTAAAATATATATATATAAATCCATCGCGTAATAACGCTTATTCAAAATATAAAGCGTAAATTTTAAGAGAATCGCGGCATACGTTCCTTTCGTGTCGACGTTCGTCATCGTACTGCCGAGTTTGTCGCGAAGGAGGGAAGCGCGTTATTGTTTACAAACATTGCGCCGTGCGATTCGAGCAAAATTTACGACGCGATCGATCCACCAACGACGAGTCGAATTTTCTATTTAATCGAAATTTTCGAATGAATGGATTGGAAATAAATACGTTTTCCTTGGAAAATTTTCGAATGAAGTGGACGAAATAACTACCCAATATTTGCAAATTAAGCGCGAGATGCGAATTCGAGAGATGGAAATTTTAATCGATTAAAAATTGCTCTCTCTCTCTCTTCTTAAAATATTTCACGTGGAATTTTATTTTATTTCGAAGAATTATGAATATTTATTACGGAATTGGTAGAAGAATATTTAATTAAACGTGTTACATAGATATATTGTGCGAATTAATTTCATATCATTGCATAAGAATTTGATGCTGCTTTTTAATTAAGATCATTAATTAACAATTATCTCTTCTTTTTTAATTGCCATGTGAAGTAGATAGGATTTTTATTAAACTACTTCTTCAAATACTTTCGACAAGTGAAATCGTGGAAAATTCTAATTTTTCATTGTTTGAATAGGAGAAAAGACAACGAGAAAAGAATTATTCGTATGAATATTTCCATTCTCCGTTTCGAATTGCAATTCACTCGACATCTTTTGATTCGTATTACCTTTTTGCTCTCGATCGTATAATTTCTAAGAAATATAAAAAAAGAAAAGAAAAAATCTAATCAATCCGTTTTTTTTTTTAATCGATGTCGCTTTTTTTGTTGACAGAGGTCGCAGAAGAAGATCCGCGATCAATAACAGACTTGAAACTTTGCAAAGTGTCATGCAAATCATTAATAACAATCCTGAATTGCTCGACGAGGATAATATTCTCTCGTCACCGGTGGTAAGTTTTATTATTAAAAATTACATTAATAATTTATGTATTTCTAATATTCTACAATTGATATAGGAAAAAAAATCTTTATTAATTTCTTTCTATTTATAAATCTTTTATTACTTAATCTCGAAGATACGTTTGTCACGATTGAAATTTTAATTAAAAAAAAAAAAAAAATAATATGAACGATGAAATAATTTATTGCAAAAATCCTCCTCGAATAAGATCGATCGACGATGTACAAAATAATTCTTCAATAAGAATTAATTACAATTCTCGAATTAGAATTATTATATAACTCGAAATATGATCATGTGCTCGCGTAATTCTTTCATTGTATCGTATCAATCACAGCGATAATTAGACGAGGAAAGAGAAATAAAATGAATCGATGGCACGCGCCTCGTATCCACGCCATATGAACTTTATGCAAAGAGTGCACCGTTTTCTCATGATAAATCTATTTTTTCACACGTAATGAGCACACTTACAATTTTCTTATTAACACTCTGTAACACGAAACTCTTTAATATTTTATCACGATGTTGGAAACACATCGTTCAAACTTGGAAAACGAAATATCGCGAGATTAATCCAGATCCAAAAAATAATAATAATAATTCCACGTAAAATTAACAAAACTTGATCTCTCGATTAGTTTTAATCATTAAAAATATTCCTTCTTTTATTTCAGAAATTAAAGGAGAGTCGACGAAGAGGGAGCGACGAATATTCACTTATTTAATTTCAAAACACGAAAATCGCGCTGGATCACAGGGCGAGCACGAAGACAGGGTCGGGAGAGCGAGGGATAATGAAGGAAATGAAGAAGAAGAAGAAGAAGAAGAAAAGATAAAAAAAACAAACGAAGAAAAAACAAAGAAGAGCAGAAAGAAAAGGTTTAAGAGAGAGAAAAAAAAAAAGAAAAATATTATACGCGATCTCTCGACCCTAAAAAACCGCCTACAAACAGTATTACGGACTGTCCTCCGTCCGAAATTAAAGAAACTATTAGGATAACTAAATAATTAATCAGGAGATATATAAAAGAAGAAGATGACGAAAGAAATTCCTATTAAATCGTATTCGATAAGTATTTATCGATTTCGATTTCGATCGTGGTTTAATTTCGATTTTTTTATTCGTTCCTGAACATCTGCCATTTTCCTTATTTATTTATTTATAATTTATTTTATTTTAGCATAGATTTATAACTTATTTATTGTCTATTTATTATTTATCGATCTTAGACTGTTATTACTTCGACTCTTCTCGAAGAGAAACGTATAGTGTGTATATATATACAGTAGAACGTTGATTTTTCGTGGATATGAATTAATTGGAAGGGAAATTTTCTTAAACAATTGATCCAGAAAAAAAATTTATGAAGGAATTAAAAATCGAGCAATTTTTAAACAATGTTTATTGCAAAATTAAAAGAGGGGAAAAAAAAAATAATTAAAATTTTACGATCAACGTTGCAGGATAAGTGACGAAGAAAGTAAACATTGTTAGTCCAAGCACAGATAGTCAAATGATTCATCCTGTGTTCGGATAATCGGTTATTTGTATAACCTCGATTTGGATAATCGACGATTCTACTGTGCACATTCTCTTCTCTTTTCTCTTTTGATTTAATAATTTATCTTTATAATTGCATTGTTTTTAAGAATAATTTGTGGTGCGACGAAGGACGAGTGATATTTATTAGAATGGAGAATTACTGGCCTACTTTCACGATCTCGCGATGTTTCGATGTTTTGATTAATAATTATTTAATGATACAATCTTAGGCTCCGTTACATCTTTTCAAAGCGGATGGATTTTATAACGATAGATAGAACTCGAATAATGGTTCTCTCTCTTTTTTTTTGTTTTTTTCTTTTACAAAAATCTGAGACATTTTTAAGAAGATTCATTTTAAATGCGATTATATCTCTGTTCCATATTTTTTTTCTCGTCGATCGTTTTTATAATGCAACGGTTCTTAAATTTTTCAAAGTAAAATTTTTTCAAGAAAAATGAAAATCGAAAGGGTTGTTATATGGGATTGTTATTAGGAAAGGAAAGAATTATTTATTCTTGCGTTTTTTGCGATTAATTGTAAACAAGATTTTTTCATCGTCTTCATTAAACGTGTTATTTTATTATTGTCGAAGAAGCAGAGATAAAAATTAATCACAACGACGGAATAACATTTAAATATTTTAACAATTAAATTGGAATGAAAAAAGAAAAAAAAAAAAGATAAAGATTTGAAAGAATTTAAGAATTGTTGTTGGATTCTCACTTTTCATACATTTGATTATCGTTACATTGTATTAATTTATTCAAGAAAGAGTGAGAGAGAGCGAGAAAAAAAATTGCAATATTAATTAATGTCAACGATATTTCGCAGGTCGTTAACATTAATTAAACTTTTCACGGAGAAATATCTGAATGTTTCGTATTTCAAATTCTATGTAATATTATCTATGTGTATGTATATGTGTTCATCGTTTATCCTCTTTATTTTCTAATTTAATTATTTATTTATTTATTTATTTATCGTAGAAACCGACAAAAAGTATTAAAGACAATGTTATAACTCTGCAATACGATTGTATCTGTAATTTCGATTCGTCTCGAAATCATAATCGATGGATTCGAAATAGTTTCGTTCGTTATTTTTCTGCGATTCTGCGTAATTATTTTGATTATTTCAATGAAATAAAAATAATAATCAGCTATATACGAGAAAAAAAATTATTTTTCTTTTCTTTCTTTTCACTTACACTTCCCTCCTGTCACTTTCCTCGAACAGATATTACATTTCCATTACGGGATGAAATCTTTAAAATTATATATCGTTTCATTTTAAATTAAATGATAAATTAAATATACGCATCTGAGGCTCCCTCTGGAGAAATTTTATGCGAATTATTACATACTGATGGTAAATATGATGTTTATCTTGATGTCTATTCTGTTCCAATATTCGAACGATTTAAATGACCAAAGATTCGAATAAATTTTTTACTTTCGATCGAAAAATATGAAATGTAAACAGAAATATCGATAAAGTGTCTATAAAAAGATCCTCCAAATTGATAATACAATTAATTTAAAATTAACACTGGTAGGTAATAACAATATAATCAAAAACCGTATGTAAAAATTTTGTTACAAAATTTTAAATAACTTCAAAATTATTATGCAGTATATATTCGTATACTCTTGAGATGTCAAATACGATTAATCCTAATATTTGCAATTTTATTATTGCGCAAAATATTATTCACGTATAACCTTATTTTCAGAATTGTTCCCTGGTCGGACTAAAGACGATTCGTACTACTATCAGTGAAAAAGCTAGTGGAATAAGTCCCCCTCTATTTTAAACAGACTCGAACGAACTCTCTTCCCCCCTAATTTTTCTTCCATTTTCCCTCCCCAATTTTCTTTTACCGTAAAATCATCTTTCGTAACTATAACTCATAATACAATTTTCCACTCTAATACTTTCCATTTAAAAAACAAAAAAATCTCTTCACGAGAAAATTACAAAATTTCAGTAGTATTATCTCGATACGAGGAACACCATCTACCCACACGCTAATAACGCGCTAATAAAAATGGCAAATATCTCTGTACTATTAGAATCACTAGAAAAAAGTTTATCAAAAAATTATAATCGTTTCACAATTATCTATCTTTCAACAAAAAAAAAAAAAAAAAAGAAATAAATAAACGTCTATCTTTGACACTGTCATTCACAAACAGAGGATAATCATCCACCATAGAAAAGAAAAGAGATATTCCATTTCGTCACGCGTGAATCGAAACCGTTCCTTTCTACCCGGAAACCGACTCGCAATCGTCTCGAAGAAGCGGAAGTTGGGACGGGAAGGAAAGCGAAACGATGCAAAATTGCACTTTCCTCCATGTTCTCGTTTGACTTTGTACGCCTCTTGTGTTTCATTCGTGGCGAGCGTGACCGACAGATATAAAATTATTTCATCGAATACGCACACACAGATCGCGTGGGTGGACGATTTCGCAAGTTTTATTACTGCGCAGTACGATAGCTGTGTGTGTGTGTGTGAGCGCGTACGTGTGAATATCGAATGGAACGGGCCTCCAAAGTTGCACAATCCTTTCAATTTCTGATTAGCATGGTTTGGTTATCGGCTCTCGCTACGTAAAACGTAGTTTTCGCTCATCATCCTCCTGTCTTTAAAAACCACGGATCGATTGCGAAAAAAGCTCTCAAGCGAATATCGTACCGATTCTGTGTTTTGCCTCGAAATTTTGTTTTCCTTCTCTGCCTTCTCTTTTATTTCTATACGAGTCTCTCGTAATAATGAGGTAGATCAATGGTTCGTTGATCTCGTCTCTTCTATTTCTTTTTTTGCTCGCTCTCCTCCTTCTTTTTTTTTTTCTTTTCTTTTCTCCGCTCTGGCGAGATTGTCGAATGTGCTTGTAGAGGTTTTTTGGTGATTTTTTTTTTAAAGAATTTTTTTTTTGGTAAGAAAAAAAATGAAGAGCAACGAAGGAATATAATGGCAATTTTGATGATTGGAATAGAAGTGGATTTGCAATAGATAATACAGATTTTTGAGAAACTTCGACTTGTAATATTAGAATGATTGATTTCAAGGAGATCGGAAGTGTTTTTTATTTTTATAGGAATGTTAACTTGAAAAATTTAGTTTTTTTCTTTGGCATTGAGTTATAAATTTTCTTTAATTATTAACTCTTTTTCGAGCAACGAATGATTCTAGTGAAAATAAAAGGAATTGAAAGATGACAAAGATATTTTGTGGAGTATACAGGTAAATTTGAGATTCGAGAAACGATCTCTCAAATAGAGAAATTTGTGAATCGAGAAAGAACAATTTATTTAATTTCAATTAAAAGAAATCAGACTTCGTTTTTTTTTTTATCTTTCTCCCCGTCGTATTGTATGCAAACATAGCGAGAAAAAAAAACAAAGTTAGGTATCGAGATATTTTAAAAACAGAATGAAAAATTATCAAAGTTAATTCTAAGAAAAGTGGAAAGAAATATTTAATGGATCGTAATCGTACGACTAGAAATAGATCGTAAAAACCTCGAAAATAAAGAAAATAATCCAAAAAAAGAAAAACAACGATGACGTATCAATAATATTTACAGAATTAGAAAAAACGAAATACGTATTCTTCTATCTTCGTTCGGCACAAGTACGTTTCCATTACACATTTTCGGCATTCAACAAGATTGGCATTTCATTGACCACCGGATATCCGCTTTAATCCTCGATCGATATCCTCGAATCATCGATTAATTTAATATTTATCGGAGAGGAAAATCCTCTTAAGATACCAGAAAGATATTTCCTTAGAAAGATAGATTATGCATATCTAATTAAACCATAATTAAAAACGTTTCATTCATTCATTTTAAATTTTATTCGGCAAAAAACTTATCAATTATTAATACTTTATTAAATTTCCAATTTTCTTTTCGATCATCGACTATCTCCACTTCGTTTTCAAATTTGCTTCGAATCGAACGAGAGGATAATTAGTTTTGGAAATGAAATTCGAATTACAACTCGATGCAAAGATATAATCTAAATTCGAGAAACTTGAATTATTCGAAAGGTTCGATCGTAACTCGAAGGAAGGAATGAAAAGGAGCGTTCTAATTTCTCGCGTGAAATCTTTTGCACGAGAAGCATGCATGATTTTTCTGATAGACACGTGATAGGGAAAACTACGTATATCGTATGAATCAAGTATCATGACGAATCAACTAATTATCGAAATGTTTCATTCATATATATTCGTCCTCTTCTACTTCCACTACCGTGTTCGATATCACGTTTGGGTACGCGAGAGAGCTTCACGTTCGCGTCAGATGTAAAACTATCGTGAAAAAATGCAGAAGAAAAAAAGAAAAAGAAAAAGAAAAAAAGGTCATTACAAGAGATAAGCAAGCAAGTTTTCTTCCTGTCGCGTGTCTGATATTAATATTATTTTTCTCGAATGCCACTGCTTGTTGTAAAAAAAGGAGAGAACAAAGATCGAAATGAAAAATTTCCTTCGGGTCAAAGATGGAAAAGATAAAATCCAAGGATCCAACACGAATTAACTGGAGCTTGATGAAAATTTAGTTTAAACGTGTGTAAAATTTTAATTCGAAGTATTAAATCATCGCTCTGTGCGCATTGATATTCCTATTCTCTCTAAAAATTTCATTCGATTCTCACCCCTTCGATCGATGCACGCTGAAGAAAATTATTGAGATTAGGATTATTAAGATTATAAGAAAAGATATTAGGCGAACTGAGAAAGAGCTTATTGCTTTTGGACGAATAAGAATTACAATTTTTATTTTTCACCCGTTTCGTTGTCGCGCAAAATTCTGATTAAAAATTTCCATCGAACGAAATCGAATCTTTCGATCGAATCGAACGCAGCTAAGATCCAATTGGCTATCCTTTTATAAAAAAACGCAAGTTCGTTCCGTAGATAATCTAAGAATTTTTGTAAATTATCGTGTAAACTATCGTCATGACTGTGTGCTGTAATAACGCGGAATATTGCATAGAAGAATACTACGCAGAAAGAAAATTTTCTTCCATTTGTGCAATTATTCGAGGAACGGTTGCAAAACAGCCTCCAGATTTCCGATCCTGCATACACTTTCTCATTCTTTGTATCGTACGTGTGCAGTGATATACGATTAAAGAAATGAACAGGATCGCCAATAGTAATAATCAGCGTATATTTACAGGATTTATTAAACAATTTTAGTAGGCACAGTTTCATAAGTTTCATCGATTCTAAAAACGAAATGGATGTACAAAAATCGATGGATCGTTCGTTAATTCGAATAAACCTAAATTGAAATTCATAGATTAAAGCGTAACAGTTCTATCTTCGTTCGTTGCACGATTATTTTATCTCCATCTCGGTTCACTGCGTCGACGCAACTTACTTAAATTACTTCCATCTCTAGAATCAACCCATTCGAAGCTGGCCTTCAACGAATGTACGCGTTGACATCCTGATGGCGAGAGATAGAATGGAAAACGAGAAGAGGAGAAAATGATAGAGAATGAATCGAGTTGGTGCCGATTTATCGTGGTGCTTGAACGGCGAAAGGAACGTTTAACACATTGGAAAGATAATCACGAAAGGGGGTGTAGGAATCAGAGAAGGAAGGAGGTGGGGATACCTCGAGGCAAGAACACATATATACGCGCCATCAGAGCCTCATAGCGTTACAGTTTCAAGCAACAATCGGACGAATCGAAACGACGTACGCTCGATTCTTCGAAGATTTTGTGCGGGAAAATTTTCGACTCTTTCTCTTTCTCTTCGATCACGAATTTTCTTGTAATATTTTTGGCCGTGAAAAGAATGAGAGGGTACACGGTGGACAGAAAGATCTCCGATCGAAAAACCTGGATGGGGATCGTGACGATATTCGGGGTGCTTTACGCGAATGGAATCGTGTGTGCACACCCTGTATACGAAAGGTAAATATTTCTTTTCGTTTATTTATAGGAAGAAGAATGTTGCTCGTCTATTGGATCTTCTTAATTTTTAAGCAGATTATTATCTGCGATTTATAAGGGTTTATAACAATTTGAATATTTTATAAATTATTCATGAAGAATTAATTTTATATTTATCCGTAGAGTTGCGCGCGAAAACGCAATGAGCATGTACGATACGTTGTTAAATTTTTCGAAAATGGGAGAGATCGGTGCGGCGGCAGAGGAATTGAATGAAGAAATATCAGAAGCGAGTAAAGAGTGAGTTTTTTTTAAACAATTATTTAATATATTTAATTAAAATTCAATAGAATCGAATGAACTATAGAGACCTTAATTTTCAATAAAATATTTCGTCCCAATTTCTATTCGAATTGAAAAAGATATTCCTTTTGATATCTTTTAATTAACATTCGTCATAGTAAACCAACGCGCGTCTTCGATTAGCAAATTAAAAAATCTCGCCTCCAACGATAAAGAAACGTTCGCGCAAAAAAAAGATTGACCCTATTCAAGTTTATTCTTTTTTTTAAATAAATTTTTTATCACGCATGCAGACGATACAAACGATTATCGGATCAAAGACGAGCAGAACTAGAGACCTTGATGGCGCTTTCCAAAATGACGGGAAAATTGATGAATGTGATCAGGGGAGGGCGTCAATCGCAATCAAGCAAGACGTGAGTAATAATATAAGTAAAAAAAATTAAAAGATAATCCTATATATCGATTATCTCCTAATATCTTTTTCTACTTTTAATCTATTTTATAGCAATGATCGCAAAAAACGATCCACCTTCGATATAAACATGAAGAATCTGCAGAAACTCTTCAGATTATCGGGCAAATTAGGATACAAAGGAAATGCTGCGTATCCAATTATCAGGTAAATTAAATTATATGACAATTATAATTTATATAATTTTTTTTTCAACAAACAATCAATCGTTGATTGTTAAATATTTTAATTTAAACATAAACGAAGAAGCCAAATCAAGAATGTAGAAAACTTTAAATTCTATTTTAATTCTAAAAAAATGTTGTTATCGCTCGATATTAAAAGAAAAAAAAAAATACAAACTTTAAACTTTTAATTAACGCAAGAAGATAGAGTATCGTGAAATTAATCGTGAAATTTGTCGTAGTAATCAACATGCGTCGTCCTCTGTGACGCATTCGATATATTTACTATTTCGCGTAAAATTGTAAAACTGCTGAATCGAAACGTTCCGAAGTTCCATCTTTAGAAAAAAAAAAAAAAAAAAAAAAAAAAAAAAAAAAT